ATTTACAGATGAAATCGAGAGAGTGGATCTTCTGGCGGCAGTTCAAAATACTTTGTGGATTAACCACCTGTCCTATATCTATAGCCCGACGTTCTGAACAAAATCTTAAAGACAGTGATTCATTCATTGACTCAGTGATCACTGAAATAGAACCTTTCCTGACAACCCTCTGGGCAGAAACAAGCGTTAATTTTTCACATCGATTGACGTCTAACCCGTTTGTCTGTGGGTGTGGCCATGGGGCGGGAGTTGAGTCTGCCTACAGATCTTTCTCTGGTCTTGGGGTCCATGTCCCGGCCCCTCATTGTGGTGGTTGTGGGGGTAGGGCATGGCCAACATTGGCGCGTCAAGCTTTTGAGCATGGCTTGTGAGGTTGCCTCCGGGTGCTCCCCGTGGAGGGGCTGGAGGTGGTCCCTGCCACGTTGGCAGGTTCGTTAGTGGCCAGTGGAAGCGACTGGGCTACCGAGGTGGCTCAGTGGTAAAGAATCCACCTGCAACGCAGCAGATGAAGGTCTGATCCCTGGGTCGGGAAGGTTATCTGGAGAAGGAAATGGCAGCCGACTCCAGTATTCTTGCCTGGAGAACCCCCATGGGCAGAGGAGCGTGGCGGGCTATAGTCCATAGGGTCACAAAGCGTCAGGCATGACTTAGTGGCTAAATAGCAGCAGTAGCAGTGGGAGTGGTTGGCATTTGAAGACTCCTGAGTTCAAACAGGGGTGAGGGAGACTGTGTTTCTCTTTGTTTATCCCCTGGTGTTGGATTTGCCACTAAAACTGCTAGATTCATGCAATTTCCTGGAAGAGAAAGGAACTTGAGCTGCAGCTGCTTCAATAGGTGGATCTGTCTGAGCCACACAGCGGAGCATGTGGTCACCTGCCGGGTGTGCTGCGCTTACTTTTAAAAATAATGTTTCATTGACATTTTTATTGTTATTTAATTTTTTTTTTTTTTTTTTTTTTTTGCCACACTTCGTTCAAGGCTTGTACGGCATGTGGAGTCTTAATTCCCTGACTAGGGATCAAACCTGCACCCCTGCGGTGGAAGTGTCACATCTTAATCACTGGTCAGCCAGGGAAGTCTCCTCCCTTACTCTTTTGAGTTGCAAAAGTAGGTGTCATTGTTATGTGTGTTCTGTATCCCAGGGACTCTGACCCTGCGATGTAAGAATTATTATCCTCATTTTCAGGTGATCAGGAGTGAAGCCCACAGAGGCGAGGAGGCTACCTAAGGCCCCACAGTTTTTGAGATGGAGTCACAGCTAGTATACATTTAAGATATTTCTTTATAAATATTTTACTGCTATATTTTTCAAAATGGCTGCCACTCCTTATCACTTGTTTTCCTTAATTCTTATTCTTTGCCTCAGCATTACAGTTGCTTTTCTGATTTATTGATACTGTATGTCCTCTGGGTCTTCTCTCTCACCTTTGTCTCCCCATCAAACTGTCTGGCAATGTCTGAACCTCTTACCCTATACACGCAATTGGAATCTTCCTTTAGGCTCACTCCTTTCTTCTTTTCTGTCATCACCATTCAGGCAGCGTTCGGACCTATTCACTCCGTTGCTAGATTATAACAGCCTTGGAACCAAAACTCTCCAAATCTGAATCTACCATTAGATTCAGCTTCCTAAAATACCCTTTCATCCTGTCCTGGGTCCGTACTAGATGCCAAACAAAGGTCAGTTCCTTAGCCTGGAATTCTAGGCTCCCCACAGTATGGTTCCAAACTAATAAAATTGTTATTTATTTATTTACTTACTTTTTTTGAGGATGCCTAGGTGGTTCAGAGGTAAAGAATCCACCTGCCAGTGCAGGAGACACAAGAGACGTGGGTATGATCCCTGGGAGGGGAAGATCCCCTGGAGGAGGAACTGGCTACCCAATTGTTTTTGGCTGTGCTGGATCTTAGTTGCTGTATGGGGACTTTTTTTCTAGTTGTGGCAAGTAGGGGCTACTCTCTAGTTGCAGGACGCAGGCTTCTCTTTACTGTGACTTCTCTTGTTGTTATTTAATTTTTAATTTTTATTTTTAGAGCATGGATTCTAGGACATATGGGCTCAGGAGTTTTGGTGCATAGGCTTAGCTGCCCTGCAGCATGAGGCATCTTCCCTGCCCAGTGATGGAACCCATGTCCCCTGCATCAGCAGGCAGATTTTTAATCACTGGACTACCAGGGAAGGTCCAGCATCAATTTTTAAAAATCTATAAAATGGGCATAAAGTTGTTACTAAAATAATATATTTAAACACTTATTAAATTATGAAATATTCTGCTAATGTGAGGTGTTAATAGTATCTTCACAGAAAACTCTAAGATGTAAATAGGGAAGGACTTATTCTTCATTTTAGATGGGAGTAAATGAAAACAGATTGGTAACAGGGTTTGTGGTCACTGTGAATTAGTGATGAGGGCAGGACTCAAATTTCTGATTTCTTGTCTAATACTCTTCCATGATGTCACATCCAGGGTTCAGAGGAGTGGAAGGTATACAGACCAGGAGAGGTAGTAGGAAGATGTGTTTTTTTAAAACATGAGCAGATGAATGCGGTGATTTCAGAGCTGTCCCTGTGGAGTTGAACCTAAGACATCTCCCTGCAGAGGCTGTATATTTGGTTGTCAGTACATTGAAAAGAAACACAGCTACACCTTAGGTATGTTTTAGTTAAATTAAAAGATGGACGTGTATTTATTTTGAGGTGATGATTGAAATACCTTCCCCATGTGTAACGGAATTTTCTTTTTTTGGCAATGCTGAAGACAGTTCATTTAGCTGCATATGTTGTCAGTGAAATTTCCCACATGCTTACATGAAACATTTGTCTTCTCCAGATGGCCTGTGTAAAGCCCAGTTGTTCTTCCAAATAAATTTATAGTTATGACAACTGTGGTATCTCTCTAGACTAGATGAGAGTTTTTTTCTTGGAAAAGGAAATGGTCTCTTTCCATTCAAACAGGGAAAGTGGGCACCCAATTGTATTAAGGCTGAAACTTGATGGGGTCTGTATTAGAGAGGTCAGTAGGTTAGGGATCCTGTTTTTATACCCTCTCCATCCTTCAAATCTGTGTGGTCTTAAGCTCCCTCCATAAAAGAACCCCAAATATAAAAGAGCTCCAGAAAAGGGTCCACAGATTTTTTTTGTCAGTAATACCTTCCTTTCTATGTTAAAAATTCAAACATTTATTATTCAACAGTTAATATATAAGAATGAATGTCTGTACCACATATGTAATTAAGAAACCTACTAATAAGTTGAATATCCATGGAACCACCAATCTACTTCTGAGCCAGGACATGGTTAATGCTATTCAATTGATCTGTGGCTCATTTCCTTCCTCCTTCTTCCCTTCCCACTATGAACCACGTTGTGCTTTCCAAAATTTTCGTGAACTGACTATATTTATAAAGAGTTTTGAAAACCTTTTAGGAGAATATGCAATGTGACTTCAGATGTGTATTTATTAATACAGTAATTCTTCACTTCATGCTGAGGGCTTTCAAGTCTATGGTCTCCTTTGAAATTCACAACAGTTCTATGAACTAACTCGGATGGGAATTTTATACTTTTGCAGGTAGAGAAAAGAGGCTCACCCAGGACTCGTAGCTGATGAGTAGGCATCAGAGTTGAGGTCAGAACCAGAGCCTTCAGACCCCAAGTCCTGTGATCTTTGCTCATAACGACATTGCCCATGAATGAGTAGTTACCACCGAGTAGATTTCCAAGGGGAAAGCCATCTTCCTGACTTGATAGGATTACCGCTGCGGGTCACAGTAGTAGACCACAGGAACTTGTATTGTTAGCAGATCCAGACACTCAGGGCCACGGAGGGTACCTTATTTTTCCATGTTTTCTCAGCCCTCAGCCTGGTATCTGAAACACAGTAGTTCCAGGTTAGAAGCCTGGGTTCTGGCATCCAACATCATGGCATTGCAAACTGGCTCTTCATTCAGTAGCTGTGTGACATTGGGCAGATAAATTAACCTCTATAAGCCCCAGCTACTCCCTTGTAAAATGAGTTTAATCATCCCAATTCTCAGGAGTGCTGAGAGGAGTAAATGAGACAATGACTATGAAGTGACAGCAAAGGGATTGCCAGGGAGCAAGCACTGAATAGATTGTAGCTAAAAATAAAAAAAAGAGTGTCTGTTTCCATGTCCTTGGGCGAATCATTTGATTCCATCTGTTCCCCGCTTTCCAAAGCTTCGGAGCCTCCTATGTGCAGGGAGGGGGTTAGACAAAGATGAATTCTCAGGACTTTGGAGCTCTGACTTTCAGTGAAGCTAAATACAGTTCCCAAGACTTCTGCTGACTTAGTTTAACTCATTATTTGACTTTCGAAAACCATATTCAAATGCCTTCGTTGTTTATACTGCCAAGTCCTCACGTGACACACAGACTAGTGTGACGAGAGAGAACTGCAAAATAATAACCAATGCTTTTCTCTTCTGCAGTTTTCTTGTTGCTCCATAGGCTACTGGTAGCATTCACTGCTTTGGCCCTAGAAAGTGTAAAAATTGAGTTTTATGTGATTAAAAAAAACCACATAGCAGCATTCATTATTATTATTCATTATATTATTCATTATATATGAATAATAATAATGAATTATTATATTCGTTATTATATTGGAAATCCTATTGGAAGAGTTAAACTTTTGAGAGAAAAAAGGAGGCCTTAAGCATTGAGTTACCTTTCTAACTGTGGTCTGGAAAGCATGTGCAAGGTGTGGTAGTAGCTTCCCTTCAGACAGGCATTAAAGTCTAAGTCTAATGTTAGAAGCAAGTTTCAGACAGAACATGACCGAGACTTTGATGCTGTTGAGTGTCTGAGACGGGCCTTCTGCACTGTGCCATGTAGTGGAGGTGGAGGATGAGAAAGGAGAGACATTTTTAATTCATCTGGGAGGATGTCGGAGCAGAGGGGACCTGCCCCTTATTTCCCAGGTGAAGCTTTAGGGCAGCAAGCCGTGAAGTCCTTCTGTCCCAGCCCGCATGCTGCGATGGCGCAGCTGACGAAGAGCGGAAGGACGTGGCGTGTGGAGGCACAGCCTCCTCCCACGGCTCACCCACCGGCGCGAGAGAAGTTGCACAGGATCGGTTCCCAGCGGCGGTGGGGAATCGACTGGCCGCCAGGGAGGAACCTGGAGAAGCCTTGGAGTGTGGCCGAGGAGGCCCCACGCTACTTGCATGGGGGTGGTGACCGGAGGGAAGGAGGGAGGCACCGGACACCTCTGCGTGCGGAGGGAACAGAGCCTGTTCCGCAAAGGACAGGATGGATCGTGTACGCAACAAAACCAGCCTGAGCGGAGACCGCTGGAGAATGGCTGGTGGACTGTATTCCTGTGGACGGTAGGCCAATAGACTGCCCGGCTTAGTCTGGGAGACAGTAACTGTGTCCACCAGGCATGCCGGCTGCTATGTGTTTTACTAGATTATATCCAAAGTGTCATTTTTGTTTTTTTTCTTTTCTGCCCCCACCACATAGCATGTGGGATGTTAGGTCCCGGACCAGGTACCAAAGCTGCAGTGGAAGGGTGATGTCTTAACCATTGGATCGCCAGGGAGGTCCCCCAAGGTGCTATGGAAACCTAGCCACACATTTCAGAGCCTTCCTGGGCACAGACCCTCCATATCACTTGCTACTTAATATTAAACTGTAATATTAAAATATTCAATTATTTTTAGTCTGTAACTTTTCCTCTTGGGATTTGAGTTATCTGGCTGTTTGTTCTACCGTTTAATAAAACAAAAACCAAATCAGCACCCCTTCTTCCTAAACCACCACTGGTCATCAGGCTTCTGACTTGAAGAAGGAGTGAAGAAAGGGGTGAAAAGCTGTGAAATGGGGAAATGGTTCAGAAATAATACTTTCTTTTTTTTTTTTTTAGAAATAATACTTTCTTAGCAATAAAAATATTATCTTATTTTTCTGTGCATGTAAGCAGCTTTGCACACATCCTCTTGATTGATCCATGTAAATTAGGCTGTTACAGATGAGGAAGAAGATTTCTTCTCAGATTTCTAGATTGAAGCTCTTTCTGCTGCCATTATGATCAGAAACACAGTGCCTAGAGGTGTGTGCGTGTGTGTACTGTGCATGTATTGGAAGTGAGGGAGAAGGTGTGGGGACTGAAGACAGATTTTTCTAGAGGAAAATGTCAAAACAGCCCAATCACTCAACAAAGGCATGATGAATGAAGGACTAGAGTGATTTGCTTCAACAAGTCACGAGGATCTGACTTTAGATATATGGATAATGGCCCTTTTAATTCCCATTTTCCTTATGACATCATCACTTACTGTTCGTCAAAACGTACTGGGAGGAAAACTCCAGAGCTCAGAGATCAGGCCAATTATTGCGGAGACTCTTTTGAAAGAATATTATGCTTCACTCTGCTCAAGGGTACATGGCACACTAGGACCTAGAGGAATCTACACTAGGTTTACAGGCTCTAAGGGACACATGGACTCTTCTGTATCTTTTCCTTTATTTGAGTAGCAGAAGCATCCCCCTTGACTGGGTTCTTAGTGGGCCTGTCAATCAAGATGCCCCTCCTTGGGCCAAGGGTTGATCACATGATCCACTCTAGGCCAATCAGGTTCCCCTCTGAAGTTGGGAGTCTGGACTGAAATGTTCAGGTGGACTGAAGTGATTCACTCTGAGGGAGATAACTTGAAGAGAATCTGGCCATTATTTTCCCGCTACTGCGATCTTCAATGCTGCTCTCTTTCCTCTTTGGGGTCTGATAATTCTCTATTTCTTTTGACTTGATAAGTTACCACATGCCCTTCTAATTTACTGCTTTTAGTTTAAGTTGCCCAGAGTTAATTTTGGTTGCTTCAATCTAAATATTTCTAACAGGACTTCTCCTGGTGATCCAGTGGTTAAGGTTCTGTGCTTCCAATGTTGGGGGCAGAAGTTTGTTCCTGCCTGGGGTGCTAAGAACCCACAGTCTGTGTTCTACAGCAAGGAAAAAAGAAGGGGGGGGGACTCAGGCTTCCTTCATTGCACAGCATTAATAATAATAAAAAAAACTCTAGCAAGTACAGCAGTGGTGCAGTGTTGCTCAGTATTTTCTTTGTTGTGGGCAGTCTTCATATTCTATGCAAATACTTCTGTACATTTGCTAACTTGTGGAGAAAAAGCCCTTTTCAGGCAGAAGACAAGCTGGAGCCAGGTTAAACAGTTAATAAAAGTGTAGGAAATCTGAGCTCACCAGGAAACTGGGTTAAAGAAGAGAAAAGGTAGTTATAAAGATGTTTATTGGTCAAGAACCCTGTGTAGGCACTGTTTACAATAGCCAGGACATGGAAGCAACCTAGATGTCCATTGGCAGACGAATGGATAAGAAAATTGTGGCCCATATACACATTACTCAGCTGTTAAAAAGAATGCGTTTGAATCAGTTCTAATGAGGTGGATGAAACTGGAGCCTATTATACAGAGTGAAGTAAGTCAGAAAGAAAAACACCAATACAGTATATTAACACATATATATGGAATTTAGAAAGATGGTAACAATGACCCTATATGTAAGACAGCAAAAGAGACACAGATGTAAAGAACAGACTTTTGGACTCTGTGGGAGAAGGCAAGGGTGGGATGATTTGAGAGAATAGCATTGAAACATGTATATTGTCATATGTGAAATAGACCACCAGTCCAGGTTGGATGCCTGAGACAGGGTGCTCAGGGCTGGGGCACTGGGATGACCCTGAGGGATGGGATGGGGAGGGAGGCGGGAGGGAGGGTCAGGATGGGGAACACACATCCACCCATGGCAGATTCATGTCAATGTATAGGAAAAACCACTACAATATTGTAAAGTAATTAGCCTCCAATTTAAATAAATTAAAAAAAAAAAACAACCCTGTGTAAGGTTGGAGACAAGGTCAAGTTTCATCCATCTATGGCCAAGAGAGTTGAGGGAGAACTCTTGTTGGGACAGGAATAGATCAGAACTTCTTAGTCAGCCTCTTCCTTGGGCAGTGTGTGTGCTGGAAACAGGTTGGACACCAGTGACTGGTATAGATCCTAGGCCCCCTGAGTTAGACTGTTCTCCCAGCCTGAATTGTACTGGACTCTGGAACTGTTCTCTGAACCTGCCATTGTTTATCAGGACATAGATCCTGTCCTGATAAATCATTGCACCTGCTTTGTAGTCACTCTCTGCCTTCAGGAAATTGTCTCAGATTTGTGACACTCATTTGTTTACTCATTCAGTAAATATTTATTGAATGCCAGTCACTGATATTGATGCTAAGTACCTAGTGATACAGAGTAGATACAGTTCCTTTCTCAAGGGGATAGTAACTGTTGAGAGGGGGAGAATGATATTAAGCAAACAGTTAAACAGAAATTTATAATTACAAATTGTGCCACGTGCTAAGCAGGAATATTGCAAGTTGTGATCAGGATGTAACATGGTGTTTTACTATTGAAGGAGGGGCTATGGAGAGACTTTTCCCTGTAAAGAGGGTTCACCAACTTTCAGTCTGATGGTAAGGTCTTTGCATTTTATCCAAGAGGCTTTGTGTGATACATTCTGTAAGGTACAGTATGTTTTTGTGTTGACTTTATGGGCAGTAGGTTGTAACTGAAAGCTGAAGGCAAGTTTTAAGAAGACCTCTTGGGCCACTTGTGTATGTGTGTTCGGTTGCTCAGTTGTGTCCAACTCTTTGTGGCCCCAGGGACTGTAGTTCTGCCAGGCTCCTCTGTCTCTGGGATTTCTGAAGCAAGAATGCTGGAGTGGGTTGCCATTTTCTTTTCCAAGGGATCCTCCCAACCCAGGGATCAAACTGGAGACTCTTGGGTCTCCTGCACCGCAGATGGATCTTTACCACTGTGCCACCTGGGAACCCCCTAGGGCCATTTGGTGGGCATTAAATCTGGTTTAGAGACGGGGACATAAACTTGTGACTCTAAGTTTCAACAGAGAAAGTGATTTAAAACTCATTAGAGTTGTGTTTGGCCGTGAAGAAAGAACAGATAATGAGGCTAATTTCATGGGTACATCATAGGAGTTTGGCGATCTCAGCTGTCATATGACATGTTGATATTGATGATATGACATGTTGATATTTATGATAAATAAATATTTATTTTAAACTGAAGGATAATTGCTTTACAATATTGTGCTGGTTTCTGCCATACGTCAGCATGAATCAGCCATAGGTATATATATAGCCTCTCCCTCTTGAACCTCCCTCCCACCTCCCACCCCGTCCCACCCCATCCCACCCCTCTAGGTTGTCACAGAGCATTGTAGTGGGTCATACATCCTTAAGTCACACAGAAAATCCCCACTCTTATCTATTTTACATATGGAAATGTATATGTCTTCATGCTACCCTCTCCATTTGTCCCACCCTCTCCCTCCCCTTCCCCCACTGTGTCCACAGTCTGCTCTCCGTGTCTGCATCGCTACTGCTGCCCTGTGAATAGGTGATATGACTAAATTTCCTAAACACATTGTAGGTGCATCTGTTATCCTGAAAGAAATGACCAGACCTCACCTTTTCCATTTGTTGAACATGCTAGTGATTTGACCATTAGCTGAAGACCGTCGTTAAGAGCAGGATACTCTGTGAGGTACACTGTAACTACCAGCATGTATGTGGAATCATCTAGAATGAAGCAATTTTGCTATCTAATAGGAATCTATGTGGCTCATAAATAAGATCTTAGACTTTGACTGTCATCCTGAGTGGCTGAGAAGTCTTTGAAAGAATGCTTTAGGTGCCATCTTGTGGTCAGTATTATGAATGTATTGAATTCAATTCCTCTTCAGCTTTCCAGAAAAATTGTTAAAAAGTTTGTGAGGTTCCCACCAGTTATTTATTTGGTGCTCTATGATGACTTAGATGGATGGGATGGGGGTAGGTGGGAGGGAGGTCCAAGAAAGAGGGGATATTTGTATACATATAGATGATTCACTTCATTGTACAGCAGAAACTAACACAGCATTGTAAAGCAATTATATTCAAAAAAAAAAAAAAGAAAAAAAGGGAAAAGTTTATGAGGACTTCTGGGCTTTCAGACTTAAAACCTCACCCCATAGAACTAGTGTCTTAAAAGGAGTTTACATTATTTGGCTAGGACAAAGCCTTGGTATAGTAATCAATTCTCTTTCCATGTCAGTTGATAGACACCTGTTTTGAACTGTCTTAAGAAAGGTGTAGGAAATGGCAACCCACTCCAGTATTCTTGCCTGGAGAATCCCATAGGCTGCCGTCTATGGGGTCGCACAGAGCCAGACACAACTGAAGCGACTTAGCAGCAGCAGCAGCAGCAGCAAGAAAG